CAAAAAGAAGTCAAAGGGATACAAATAGGAAAGGAAGAAGTCAAAATATCGCTATTTGCAGATGATATGATAGTATACTTAAGTGACCCCCAAACTTCCACCAGAGAACTCCTAAACCTGATAAACAACTTCAGCAAAGTGGCTGGTTATAAAATCAACTCAAACAAATCAGTAGCCTTCCTCTACATGAAAGATAAACAGACTGAAAAAGAAATTAGGGAAATGACACCCTTCACAATAGTTGCAAATAATATAAAATACCTTGGTGTGAATCTAACCAAGCAAGTGAAAGACCTGTATGACAAGAACTTCAAGTCTCTGAAGAAAGAAATTGAAGAAGATCTCAGAAGATGGAAAGATCTCCCATGCTCATGGATTGGCAGGATTAATATAATAAAAATGGCCATCTTGCCAAAAGCAATCTACAGATTCAATGCAATCCCCATTAAAATCCCAACTCAATTCTTCACAGAGTTAGAAAAGGAAATTCTCAAATTCATATGGAATAACAAAAAACCCAGGATAGCGAAAACTATTCTCAACAATAAAAGAACTTCTGGAGGAATTACCATCCCTGACCTCAAGCTGTACTACAGAGCAATAGTGATAAAAACTACCTGGTATTGGTACAGAGACAGGCAGGAAGATCAATGGAATAGAATTGAAGACCCAGAAATGAACCCACACTCCTATGGTCACTTGATCTTTGACAAAGGAGCTAAAACTGTCCAGTGGAAAAAGGACAGCATTTTCAACAAATGGTGCTGGTTCAACTGGAAGACAACATGTAGAAGAATGAAAATTGATCCATTCTTATCCCCTTGTACAAAGCTCAAGTCTATGTGGATAAAGGACCTCCACATAAAACCAGATACACTGAAACTAATAGAAGAGAAGGTGGGGAAAAGCCTCGAATACTTGGGCACAGGGGAAAAGTTCCTGAACAGAACTCCAATGGCATATGCTCTAAGATCGAGAATTGACAAATGGGACTTCATAAAATTGCAAAGTTTCTGTAAGGCAAAGGACACTGTCAATAGGACAAAACGACAACCAACAAATTGGGAAAAGATCTTTACCAATCCTTCATCTGATAGAGGGCTAATATCCAATATATACAAAGAACTCAAGAAATTAGACTCCAGACAACCAAATTACCCTATTAAAAAATGGGGTATAGAGCTTAACAAAGAATTTTCAACGGAAGAAACTCGAATGGCCGAGAAGCATCTAAAGAAATGTTCAGCATCCTTAGTCGTCAGGGAAATGCAAATCAAAACAACCCTGAGATTCCATCTCACACCAGTCAGAATGGCTAAGATTAAAAACTCAGGTGATAGTAGATGCTGGCGAGGGTGTGGAGAAAGAGGAACACTCCTCCATTGTTGGTGGGACTGCAAGATGGTGCAACCACTTTGGAAATCAGTCTGGCGGTTCCTCAGAAAATTGGACATAGCATTACCCGAGGATCCAGCTATACCACTCCTAGGCATATACCCAGAAGATGCTCGAACATATAACAAGGACATATGCTCAACTATGTTCATAGCAGCCTTATTTATAATAGCCAGGAGCTGGAAAGAACCCAGATGTCCTTCAACTGAGGAATGGATTCAAAAAATGTGGTATATTTACACAATGGAGTATTACTCAGCTATTAAAAACAATGAATTCGAGAGGTTCCTTGGTAAATGGATGGAACTAGAAATTATCATCCTGAGTGAGGTAAGCCAATCACAAAAGAAGACACATGGTATTCACTCACTGATTATTGGATATTAGCCTAGAACCTTGAAATGCCCAAGATGCAACTCACAGGCCACATGAAGCCCATAAAGAAGGAAGACCAAGTGAGGGTGATTCGGTCCTTCTTAGAAGGAGCAACAAAATACTCAAGGGAGCAAATATGGAGACAAAGTGAGGGACAGAAACTGAAGGAGGGGCCGTCTCAAGACCACCCCACCTGAGTATCTATCCCATGTGCAATCACCAAAGGTAGATGCTGATGTGGAAGACAGGAAGTGCATGCTGATAAGAGCCTGATATGGATATCTCCTCAGAGGCCTTCAAGAGTCAGACATATTCAGAGGCAGATGCTCACAACTAGCCATTGAACTGATCATGGGGTTCTCAATAGAGGAGTTAGAGTGAAGACTGAAGGAGCTGAAAGGGTTTGTGGCACCATGAGGAGAGCAACAATACCAACCAACCACAGCTCCCAGGGTCTAAACCACCAGCCTGGGAGCACTTGGGGGGGGGGCCAGGCCTGCAGCTGACTATATTAATAAAAGTGGAGGGCCCTGCTGGGCATAGGTGGAAGAAGAGAACCTTGACCTCATGAAGGCTGGATGCCCCAGGGGGTGGGAATTTTGAGGGTGGGGAGGTGGGAGTGGGGGGGTGTAGATAGAGGTTACATCCACAGAGAAGAAGGAGGAGGGGCGAGGGTATTGGGGGTTCCGAGGGGGTGGTGGGGGATGGGGTAAGGGGACAACATAGGAAATGTAAATAAATCATCCAATAAAAAAAAAAAGAAAAAAAAAAAGAAAAAAAAAATAAAATATCCAATTTAAAAAATAGCTTTCTTTGTTACCTATAGAAGCCATTTAGACTCAAAAGGGACAATCGTCCTTGATGTCAGAGAGACTTTTATACCCTCCCATGACATCATAGATAACCCAAAGCTTTAGGGTGGTACTTGCTATATTGTGGGTTATATAGAAGTGAGAACATTTTTACCAACAAAAAGAGCCTGTGTCTGTTCTTATCCCTGAGATTTATTACCTGTGTGACTTTGAATAACCTTGTGAAGATATATCGTCTCATTTAGCAGAAATTTCTGATCACTGAAGCCATTAAATCAGTACACTGAGCAGGTTTTCCTGATTCATGTGTGTTCCCTGGGAGATTAGATAAACTTTAACCCATTTCTAGCAAATATGCACAACTTTACAGTGTACACGTAATACCTTAACCTCCTTCCTGGTTCTTCCTTGCCTCCTCGGGTTAGGTTTTCACATTAGCTCGACTTTCCTTGCCTATGTTTATATTATTTTTGTTGGAAACTATCTTCAGATCTTCTTAGAAGACACCGAGTAACAGACTACTTCCCCTCTCAGAGCTGATATATGAGTGACATACATCATAGGTAGTACAATGTTTTAACTGAATCAAAGAATGTTAATTATACCTGCTTTAAACTGAGCATTTAAAATGGTTTTGTTTTAAAGGGAAGATATGGCTTTATAAGAGGAGATTGACCGGTTACCATGTGTCTAAGTTTCTATAATTACGTAAGAAAACAGTGAGGCTATGCAGAGGTTGTTTTCTCTCCAGCCTTTACTGTGGTCAGTGTGATGCTGTGCCTGTCTGCTGTAGATGCTCTAGCTTGATGTCTTTGAGATTAAGAACACTTAATGTTTTTTTTTCCCTTAAGAGCTTTTAGCTACCTATTATTTTATGTTTCATATCTTATTCTAAGTAGCATAGTTTAAACCCTAAGAAGAGGTTTGGGAGAAAGAGTGTTTTTACAACTTGAGATGTTGTGCTCAGGTGGTTGTTTTGTGTATTGCAGGCCTTTCGGGAAGACCTAGAATGCCTCATTCAAGAACAGATGAAGAAAGGCCACAACCCAACCGGTTTACTAGCATTACAACAGATTGCGGATTACATCATGACCAACTCCTTCTCAGGCTTTTCTTCACCTCCCCTGAGTATGTCAATTGTGATTCTTTATTTTCTCTACTGAAGAACACTGCACCTCCTTAGTTACGTGTTCTTGATCATCTATATATGTAGGTGGCATAGCCTACAGTACCAACTGTTCAGCAGAGAAAGCAAAGGGTCATAAAACCAAGGCCAGCCTGGGAAAACTAATAAAGGCCATCAAAAGTAAACAAGAGGTCTAGAGATGTTGTTCAGTGGCTGGTACTATGCACAAGGCCATAGGTTCAATCCCAGGTACCTTTTAAAAGCTAATAGCATCTGATACTTAGGGTAGCATATCAGCCAGCCACTTAGTAAACTTTGTGAGCCTTATTAAAGTATTATAAGGCATGGTCACTATCCCAGATGAATGTATTTCACTTAACCCTGGATGACCAGGGTAGTAATGTATGCTTTCTTTTGGCTCATAGTTTCCAAGTGGTTTCAGTCCATCGTGGCAGGAAAGGCAAAACAGCTCTGACTGAGATGAGAGCCTAAGACAGAACAGCTCCTCACAGAACAGGAAGTAGGCAGAGTGTGGGCCTGTCCCTGGTGGCCTACTTCTCGGTAGTTACCCCACTTCCAAAGGTTGTACAGCCTTCATAATAGGGCACAAACTGGAGACCCAGCATTCTACATATAATCCTTTAGTGAACATTCAGAATCAAACCATAACAATAACTATAGAAGAAAACATTTAAAAGCCATTCACAAGAAATTGCCCATTTCCCTTTTCCTGGGTCCTCGTGCTGAGAGTTGGAGTTGATTGTTGTGAAGGAGACTGAAGGAAAGCCTGATGAGAGGAGGACCAGGCAGACGGGTTTGGAGGGGATTCTAGGGAGAGCATCGGGTAAAGGACTGGGTGATTTACTCGTTGCATAGCTCATTGCTAAGAGCAGCAGTTTGTGTCTCTGAACTCCCTGTAAGTGCTAAGACCCATGGGCCGTAAGCTCTAGTGTTTCAGCAGTGACTGTATTCAGAATGTTTGCAGTGACGGGCAGGTACAAAGCCCACACAGGACTGGCAGACATTGCCTCATGGAAGACTCAGAAGATAAGGGGCTTTACTTTCTTTTATTTGTCCCCTTCTGTCTCTTTCTTTTGTTGATAGAGATTTCTAAGTCAGATTTTATTGAATTCAAGTTTTTTTCTAAACACTTGAGACCCAACAGTAGGAGAGTGCAAGGCAGGGTATTTGTAGAACTCCAAATACACCATTGCCTTGGGCCTGAGGGTCCTGGGATAGCAATCTAGGGAAAGGAAATGGGTCAGACTGAAAAAGACTCTTCACTGTTAGACCCACAAAGCTGCCAGCATAGTCAGGGAAACCTGAGTGAAGAGAGGATTAGTGGCTGATGATCTGAGTGAGTGCCAGGAGAGAAAAGGAAACTAAGTCAGATCATTGAAGGAATCTCAGGGAGAGGTACGAAGACACCTAAGTTAGCTGTGTGGTTGTGGGTATATGAGGGAGAAGAACACCACCGAGAACTCTAGGGAGCTTAGTGGCAGGCCTGACGTGCTGGGAGCGGGTGCAATAGCCACCTCACTTCCAGAGAAGCAGTCTACCAGCAGACACAAAAAATTAAAACTTGAGCTATTTTTAAGCACTCTGTAACAGTGGGCATTTGAACTAAGCACTGTTTAGAGACGGGACTACACAGGCGAGATTCTCTTTCCCTTGGAGATAGGAAATAAAGCAGATGATGAGACGATAGGGCATCACCATGCAAAGAATTACACTATAATGATATGCTGGGAGTGTCTGGGCAGTACATACATGAGGTCATCAAAGATGACCTCTCTGAGGAGAGCCCGTGTCAACTCATGCTTGAAACGCAGGGTGCACACGCCTTAAGATGGAGAGAAAATAGTCAAGTCCAGGAACCTGGTAAAGGTACCAAGTCAGAAAAAAGTGGGGATGAGATTGGCCTCTTCAAGGAGCAGAAATAAAGATAATGGCCTGCTTGCTCTCTGAGGGGACAAATAGAACAGAATTAGATAAGAGCACAGGCAGGGCATGTGATATTTAAATGTGATGGTGACATTATCATGGCCTGGTTTGAAAGTTGGCATCTTGTTCCTACCTTTGTGGGAAAACATTTTTAAACTGGAGTGATTTTTTTTTAAATCAAATCATAATTTATTCTTATTCACACAGGGGTTATAAACACAGAAAGGCAGGGTGTGGGGAAGGGAATGACACTGGAGTGTGGGTGTTCAGGGGGAATACAGATATCTTCAGAACAGGGTATCAGCTGGGTGAAGGTTCAGGGGACAGGTCACTATGACTCTGCCTATGACTCGCTTGTCCTTATCTAAGTTGGTATTGTCTGCCAAGGCTACCTATTTACAAGGTCTATGACTACTCAGGCTTGTAGATTTCCACAAAAGCTGCCTGTTTACAATAGCTTATAGCCATCTGTTTCAGTGTTTTTCCACAGAGACCCAAGACTTTGTGTTAGCATGCATGTATGTCAGGCCTATTGCTGATTTTAGGCCTATGGCTGATTTTAGGCCTTCAGTGTGTAAGCAAGACTGCCCCTGATATCTCCTCCCTTCTCTAAGTATAGAAGTGCCGTGGTGATTCTAAACTTGCGAAGGCAGGGATAGAGGACTAACCTCCAACAATTGAAGGGGACCTTGTAATGGCTCCGGTCCCCCTGTCGTTGTCCAGTGAGGCATGAGAGCCATACCCATCCTGATGTCGTGATTTTTAAACTCACACTAGATTTTCTGTGCAAGAATGGACTTGAAGATTTCATAGAATTAATAAGAAAACTAGGAAGAATCAGGGTTTAGGATCTAGTTTGGTTTGGGAAATGAAAGAAACTTGTCACATATTTGCTTTGAGTTGCTGAGATGCTGGAGCCATTGAAAATTCAATTGATTGCCTTGGGGGGCAGATATAGATAAGTGCTACCTAGGCCACTGTGCCATGCGAGGGCGGGGGGTGGAGGGGAAGCAAACTAATGCAGACTCTCCCCTCTGAGCATCCTGGATTCCACATCAGGAACATGTTTGTGGTTATAGATGACAAAGCATGGTAGCAGGAAAGCCATATCCCATTAGTGACTAGAAGTCAAGAAGTGCAAATGGACCCATTTGGAAGATTTTTGTGTCAATGTGAAAAAGAGAAGTTATGTAGGAAGTAGAAAGAGAGTAAAGAATAAAATAATGGTGTCTATAAAAATATATTTAAAATTTAAGTATTTTAGCTGAGTGTGATGGCTCATGCCTTTAATCTCAGTATTTGGGAGCTAGAAGCAGGCGAATCTTTGAGTTCAAGGCCAGCCTGGTCTACAGAGTGAGTTCCAGGATGGCCAGGGCTACACAGAGAAACCCTGTCTCAGATAGATTGTTTGTAAGTATTTTGTTTGGCCTATACATGATTGAAACTGTTTCTTTGGAGTAGTTTGCAATATTTCAAATTTTGATGATCTCAAACTTTCAACCTACCATTCATTTTATTTTTGAGACAGGATCTCATGTAGTGCAAGCTGGCCTTGAACTCATTATGTAGTCAAAGATGACCTTGAACTTGTGATCTTGCTTTCTCCAATGTACCACCACCCACACCCAGTTGGGTTTCTCTTTAAAAGGTCTTACAATTTAAGCAGTGCCATAGGCAGAAGCAAGAAGTAGAAGAAATTTACTGCAGTATCTACAAGTGAGTTAAGGCATAGACTCAAGCTTGGAAAGTAAGAGACCATGTGAAAAAAAAAAGGTGAAATGTGGTAAGTTACCACTGGTGACCAGGAGATGTTAAAAAGTGAAGACTGGGGCACACTTTTAATCCCAGCATTCAGGAGGCAGAGTTAGACAGAGCTCTATGTGTTCTAGGCTTGCCTGGTCTACATAGCAAGTTCAGGCCAGCCTGGGTGGGCTGTGTAGTAAGCCCCTGTCTCAAAAGACAGAGAGGCGGGGGATTGATTTTTAAAAATAAAAATTAAAAAATAATGAGTAAAGATTGCTAAGAATTGAGCTTATAGAAGTTGTAATATCAACATTACAGGAATAAAGAGAAGAAAGCAAGAAAAGTGAGAGTAGAATCACTGTGAACTTCAGTTTTGTATGTTATTCTGTCACGGGCCTTTATAAGTAGCAGGATGGAGGACGAGGACAGAGAAGAAGATGCTCTCACAGAGTAGCACCAGACAGAGTGTAAGATGTGTTCATAAAGAGAAGCAAAGAAGGGAGGAGGAGCATAACAGAAGCCTGAGCTCAGGGAAGGAGCCAGGTTGGAGGAAGAAGGGAGAAGAGGACCTATGGAGTAGGTGGAAAGGGAGGAAGCGCACTGCAGGGTCAGCAGTGAGGGAGAACAGAAGCTGCGCTCTTGCTCAGTAACAGTTGTACTTGGTAGCTAGAAGGCAGAAGCCAGACAATTATTTACATGCATTTTTTTTCATTTCAGATGCTTTGTTTTGGCTATGTCAAAATAGATATTAGGAAGTTATCTTTCAATTGATTTTATTATTATTGTTGTTGTTGTTATTATTATTGTTATTGTTATTATAAACATCTGTGTTTCTTAGTGGCATTTTTACCTTTGGGGTCATCCAGCCATCTTTTCCAAGTGATGTAACTTTCAGTCACTCTCAGGCAGGTCCAAGGTGAAACACCTCTCACTAAGCCGTTAGTGAAGACAGCAGCCCTTATTTTTACTCTCTCTGCATGTCTCTGAAAGGAAGTTGAACTAATAAGCTATAGTGTGTGCTGGTACATTTCTGGTGGTTGTTCACAAAGCTGCAGTTTTCTAGGACGTGGGCTACTCGCCAGCATCTCCTTGCTAGGTCAAAGGATGACGTGAGTCAAATCTCTTACATTTTTTCCCATTTAGGTCTTGGCATGGTCACACCTATTAATGACCTTCCTGGTGCAGATACAGCCTCATATGTGAAGGGAGAAAAGCTTACTCGCTGCAAACTCGCCAGCCTGTACAGACTTGCAGATTTGTTTGGGTGGGCACACCTGGCAAATACGTACATCTCAGTGAGTCCTTTACCGTTGGTTCCTTTTTCTGAAATTGTAACTAGATGCCAACACTGATCTCTCATCTTTACTGAAAAGTCCAATTTTCAGAATTTAATGATAAATTAAACCTCCTCTCCAAGGAAAAGACTAATTCCCCAGCTTTCCTCTTCACTCTGTCTTGTCTGTGATGTTCCTTCGAAGACAGGCTGTAGAACTTCCCAGAAAGAAGTCATGAGTGATCGCCCCTTCCCATGATCCATAGCTGAGCAGCCTCAGTGGCATTGAAAAGCACTGGGGGCAGGCAGGGGGAGCAGAGGACACAGGGCTCCTCCCTGGTGCTTGTAAGCATTAAGAGCACTTGTCCTCATTTGCAGACGGCCAAGCATTGAAAGGTAGGAAGTGCAGATGAGAGAGCATCAGGTTCTGTCTGAGGCCGAGTCCTGACTGGCAAGTAGAAGAGAGGCTACTGAAGGTGAAGGGGCATGAGGAAGGGAGAGAGGCTGAGGAAGGAAGACAAGAAAAGAAAAAGAACAAAAGCAATTTTGTGTAAAAACTACCACAATGCTTCCTACGCTAGTAAACCCATACATAGTAAATACACTTCCTCTGTTCACTGTCACCTATCTTCACTTTGCCACTCTTGGAATGATGATGCCATTTGGAATAAAAACCAAAAAGGCACTGAGTAGAAATAGTATGCACAGTGCTGCAGGTTTCCAAGGTAGCCATTCCTGTTTCCCCACTTCGTTGATACCTTGATTCCCTCACAGATGGTTTTTTCCTCCAGACCTCTGTCCATTGGAAACATAATCCTAGCCATATTTATGCTGTAAATACAAGTGCCTTGTTCTAAGCCCTTGGTTTTTCTTTCTTCCAGGTACGCATAAGTAAGGAGCAAGACCATATTATAATAATTCCCAGAGGCCTCTCTTTTTCTGAAGCTACAGCCTCCACTTTGGTATTGTTCTCATCCCTGTGTTACTTTTTCTGGGTACTCTTGTATTTAAGAAACATGTGAGAGTTGAAGATGAATAGGGTGACTGATGACACTGATAGACTTGGAAATAGCTGACATTTTTTTCTTTTTTGAGACAGGGGTCTCACTGGGTAATCCTAGCTGGTCTCAAACTCACAGAATCCTACCTGCCTCTGCCTGCCAAGTGTGGGATTAAAGGTGTGTGCCACCACACCTGGCCCTGCTTATATTTTAAAGAAAAACTTGACTATTGTCCAACTTATATATTTACAAAAATTTTTTTCCAAACAAGGTCAAAATACAGTCCACAGTTGCATGTAAACAGTCTGGTTGGTGTGAGGATGACTGTGCCCTGTGTCTTCTCTTCTCCATGATTCCATGCCTGGTGGCTGCCATAGGCATGGAACACAATGGGAATCACAGGAGTCCTGGGTGCCACAGTGTCAGCAAGTGGCACATCTCCAACCAGTTGCAGCAAATGCTAGCCTTGGTCCAAACCTCTGATAAAGAGCTTGAGTTAGTTAGTCCCCTGCAATCTGGGTTTCTTATTCTTTAAGTGCTAACTTTTTTTTATATAGTACTTGTTTTAGAAATAAAATATGGGAACAGAGCTGTACCTTTGCTTTTTTACAAACTGTTTCTGGCTGCCTTTTTTCTGTGTGATAAGTTCAGTTGTTGCAACAGAGAACCATAACATCCAAAACACTATCTGGGCAGATTTGCCAGTCCCTGGGTTAGCTTGTAGGGTATAGATGAAGTTTGGTATGTATGTACCAATGAAATATATCTTTCTGATTTTTCCAGGTGAAAGTCAACATAATCGGAGAAGTGGTGGACCAGGGCAGTACTAATTTGAAAGTTGACCACACAGGATTCAGTCCCCATGCTGCCATCTATTCAACACGTCCCGACGTGAAGTGTGTGATACACATCCACACCCTTGCTACCGCAGCTGTAAGTCAGCCGTATGCCAAACCAGAATGCTTACACAAAGTCCTGTTCATGCTTCCCAACACAGTGCTTCATGGTAACACATTCTGCCACACCCTGCTAACCCCTCTGCATACACAGAAAGCAAGAGGTTATTGGAATCAAAGCTACCACTCTAGAGAGCACCTGCAGATATAAGTGTATATTTAAAAACTAAGCACTTTAATAATTGGGTCACTGAGGATTTGAGATTACATCTTTCATAATATTTGATGTGCATTTGAATTGTGTTGTATCCCTTTAACTCACCCCTCATGACACATCTTTCCAGAAGAAGTAAATGGGGTGGGAGGTGGGCCGCAGTGGCGAGCACTCTGTATCACCGGTGCTTCCTGGGCTGCCTGAAGAGTCAGGTTCCAATGACTGTGTGCAAAACTAAATGTGGAATCTTGGGCCCAATCAAATAGGTGTCCTCCATGAAGTGTGGGATCCTTCCAATTTCCCAAGAATCTCTCATCCTGGGAGATGTAGCCTATTATGACTACCAGGGCTCACTTGATGAAGAGGAGGAAAGAATTGAACTTCAGAAAGTTCTGGGTCCAAGCTGTAAGGTATGTAGTGGTCTGAATTATAGGGCTTTCTTTGTTGCTGCTGCTTTTGGTAAAGCATTGTGAGCTATGTGGTCACTTAAAGGCTCACTTGGGCCTCTGTTCTAGGTGCTCGTTCTCAGGAACCACGGTGTGGTGGCTCTTGGAGAAACCCTTGAGGAGGCTTTCCACTACATTTTTAATGTACAGATGGCCTGTGAGATTCAGGTAGGAGCCGGGCATGCCGTCTTTTCTATTGCTCTACATTTGCCAGTAGTTGGGTTTTGTTTATTTTAAAAGTCCTACTGACCAATGGCTTATTGTTTTATCTTTTAGTAGAAATTCTACTCTATTTCATTGACAAAGCTTGTGAGCTCAGTTATCCCTGAAGTAAAAAAATGAAAAGAAGTTAAAATCCACATACCCACAATCTAAGAGCTGGGGAACATGATTTTGCCCACAGTCTTATTTCGTTTCTCTCTAGTTATGGCCCTGACTGAGAGAAACAGGGACCCTACAAATCACGAGCTAGGTATGCTGTGGAAAGAGCTAAGAGCAAGGCTGGCAGGTTTCTGAGCTCCTGCAGTTAGCATCCTCACTGCTATAACACGACGGACACTGTTTCCTCAGAGATGCTGAGTACATGCAAAGGCCCTAGTGTCCATCTTAAAATCAAGCAGAGTCACATGAAGTAAATAACAATAATTTTAATAAAATAAATAATTGTATTAAATAAAATAATTTTATTTCAAGGCCAGAAACAAAGGAAGAAAAAAACCTGTTTCTAATTTGAGAAGACAGTCTCTCTGTATAGCCAATGCTGGCCTCAGACTTGACATCCTCCTGCTGTAGCCATAGTTAGAGCCTCAGGAATGTGCTTCCAGGCTGTCTATTTACTGACTTGTCTTGACCAACTTCTCTTTTGCAGCTAAGGTCCTTTTCTAGTGGGACTGTGAAAAGCTTAACAAAGACAAAGAGCATCTCCTCTTTAAATGTCCTTAAATGTGAACATATCTCCATATTCCTTCTGAAGAACACCTTTCAACAAAAAGATTAACTAGATAGCCATCTATCAGTGCCTGGCGAGTCTTGTGAGCTGTTGCCAGATTGAGACTGTTGGAAAGTAATGTCTTTGTTACTGTCCTTACACCTGCATGTCTTTCCCATGCTTACAGGTGCAGGCGGTAGCAGGGGCAGGGGGAGTAGACAACCTGCTCATACTGGATCTTCAGAAATACAAAGCTTTCACCCACGGTGTGGCTGTGTCTGGAGGAGGTGGTGTCAACATGGGCTCCCATCAGAAGTGGAAGGTTGGGGAGATTGAGTTTGAAGGGCTGATGAGGACCCTGGACAACTTGGTAGGTGAAATGTGAACCTAGACTTGGTTTCATGTAAATCGAATCTCCCTTTGCTTTTAAAACTTACTTCTAACTTCCAGGACCGAGCGAGTTTGAGCCTGCAAAGGCTCTGCGGTGTAGTTTTGTCACAGGTTTAGGATCAGGCAGTGAGACACTCAATTGTCTTCCTCCCCCAAGAACACTCTGATTAGTTGTGGTCACTGCGTCATACAGTGTACTCCTTTCTTACAATTGCCTTATGTGTGTGAGTGTTTTGCTTGCATGCATGGCTGTGTGTGATGTGTGTGCTTGGTGCTGAGGAAGCCAGAAGAGAACATTGGATTCCTTGGTATTGGAGCTACAGTTGCAATCTGCCATGTGGGTGCTAAGAACTGAACCCATGTCCTCTGGAAGAGCAGCCAGTGCTCTTAACCACTGAAACATCTCTCCAGCCCCTACAGTGTGTTCTTGAATTGAATCCTCCTACATACTTGAAGGTTGTATTCTTGGACCAATTTCTGCCTTTCTCTATCCTCTGGTAACCACCACTTTAATCATATCTGTGAATTCAACTTTTTAGATTACACATATGTAATGTCCATATGGTGTTTAATGTTTGATACCTGGCTTACTTCAGTTACCATAGTGTCCTCCAAGTTCATCCAGATTGCCACTAATGCCAGAATTTCTTTTAGAAGCTGTATAATATTCCATTGTGGATATGCCACATTTTCCTTCCTTTTTCTTCTACATTTTTGTGGGTTTTATTGAGATATAATGCACAAAGCTCAAAAGTTTTTAAGTCTGCACAACAGAAAATTATATCTTTTTTCAAAGCTAACCATGTTTTCTTTATCCATTTCTCTATTGATAGATACATAGGTTGATTCCCTATCTTAGTTATTGTGGCTAATTCTGCGATAAAAATGGAGGTATGAGTATCTCTCAGCCTACTGATTTTACTTCCTTCAGATCAATATCCAGTAAGTAGTAAGATTACTAGATTATGTAGTGGTTATATTTAATCTATTTTAATAGGATGAGGAACCTCCGTACTGCTTTTGATTATGGGTGTATTAATTTATAATCCCACCAAGCAATACACAGGCACATTTGTCTCTTTCCCCTTTTCCCCGAGACACATCTCGGGTCTGCCTGATAATAGACACCCTGACAGAGAGTGTGGTCTTCTGCAGGACACTCAGTTCCTTTGCCTGTGTTTCTCTAATAGGCAGTTTTTGCTTGTAGTTTTTATTTAGCTTCTTAGATATAGGATATTGACCACTTAGACACATGCATGGAAGATGTCATCTTAGATTATTTACCATCTAGTGGAGGGATAGGAGACAGGTTCTCTTTAGACCTAGGAAGAAAGACTCCCAGCTCTGTTTTCCCAAAACCAATCTCCTGTGTAGAAGTCAGCTTCGTCAGCGCATTAGGTAGAAGTTGGGGTACCAGCTGCCGCCACTTTCAATCATCTCTTTAATTGGCTTAGTTTCAACTCCAATGTTATATGGAGGCTATGTGGAGTTTATTTTCCCTTTTGTTTATCTATGGGGACTCTTTTTGAATCATTTGCTTAATGATATAGCACCAAGTGACTTGTTAGTACAGGCTTGGGTGCTTCAGTGTGGTCTTTGCCTTCCACAGGGCTACAGAACAGGCTACGCGTACAGGCATCCTCTAGTTCGAGAGAAGCCTAGGCACAAGAGTGACGTGGAGATCCCAGCCACTGTGACTGCATTCTCCTTTGAAGATGACATTGCACCACTCTCTCCCCTCAAGTACATGGCCCAGAGACAGCAGCGTGAAAAAACAAGATGGCTGAATTCACCAAATACTTACATGAAAGTGAATGTGCCGGAGGAATCTCGGAACGGGGAAACTAGTCCCAGGACCAAAATCACGGTACGCCTCCATTCTGTATAGCATTGCCTTCTCAAAATGTTTGACCTAAGTACCCGTAAGTTGAATAGTCCACATCTGAGTTATTAGGAAAGTAGGAGGTACTGTAAACATAACGCTGCTGTCGTTTATCAGGTGTTAACTTTAAGACTCTGTTCTAGGCCCAATTCAGGGATAATCTCACTTTCTTCTAATACAAAGTGCGTCCTTTTTTTTCCTCCCTTTTTAGATGAGAAAACCAAAAGAGGCTGACTGGTTTTTAGGGTAAAATCCTAGTTTGAATGGCAGAACTGTCTTGAACCGTCTTGGTACCCACTGCATTACACTGCTGTGTAGTTGTGTAGCTCAGTCCATTCAAATGTGACCGCATCCAACACCAAACTGTACCTTAGTTGCATAAGTTAGCATAGGATAGATATTTTTAGGGATGACCCTGTAGATAGAGATCAGATTACTTCATCTGTTTTAAACTTTTTTGGTTCAGATTTGGTTTGGTTTTGGAGTACATACCACCAAACTTACTTAGGGTTGGGAGAAGTGAGAAGGTCTCACTCACTGTGTGGCCCTGGCTGTCCTGGAACTTACAGAGACCTGCCCATTTTTGCCTTCTGAGTGCTTGTACTAAAGGCTTGTTCCCTAATGCCCAGCTCCACCAAACAGCTACTTAAAATAGTTCAAACTATCATATAAATAAATACATTCAATATGGAAATGTTTAGGCATTTATTTTATCTGTCTATAAGGTTTCTTCAGGAAAAGATACATAATTAAATTCATAAGTTTCCTAGAATTTATTTAATAATCAGAGATTGCCAGTCAGCCACCATTAATCTTCCGTCAGCCTTCTCTAGGGGGAGAGTGGAGTGAGAGGTCCTCAGACCCTATAGTTCATTAGACCCCGTGCTTCAAGCCTTGTCCTCATGTCAACCACAACAAAAAGGCCTGTACGTTCCTTAAAGACATTTCTTGAATCTTTCTATGACTTGTTGGCTGTTGTTACCCTGTGAGATTCAGTGCAGGAGACGGAACTCCAAATACCAGTCAATGCCTATGTCTGTCTGAGGTAGTTTCCACATCCTGCTTTCAGCTGTCTAGAGGAGAGAGCTTCAATTAGAAGTGTAATTAATTACTCATGTGCACTAGAATGGTATGTACTTCATCTTAAGTGAATGTTTTTGTGAGACCTCTCTAACTAGCGTGAGATATGAGTTAACAACCAAGAAACTGCTTAGTAAACTGTGACTGACAGTAACATGCCCCCATGAGACTCTCCACAGCTACTCAGTGTGCTGTAGTTCTTTAATGCAGAGCTTCACTCTAGAAAGGACTCTGTTCTTTATTCTTTAGTGGATGAAAGCAGAGGAGTCCTCTAAAGTTAGCAGTGGAACACCGATCAAAATTGAAGATCCCAATCAGTTTGTTCCTTTAAACACAAACCCGACTGAGGTGCTAGAAAAGAGAAACAAGGTAAGACAGCTCTGTGTCATAGGAGATACTTCTTGTAGGGGACTTTTTGGGCTACTTGATTGGGATCTATTGCTACCACCCTCCCAACCCTTATTCCACCCCAATCCCTTCCAAGCCCCCAACTCTAGGTAGGAGAGAAAGGAGGTTAGAGGGGAGAGGGGGCATAGACCTCTTTAGACTACTTCCTGCTGACTAGGGGCATCGAGGACCTTGGGGCAGGTCCAGTCTCCATCATCAGGATATCTCCAGCCAGCAATCCAGCAATAGCAAACACAGCAGCAGGGACCAGCCGCAGGGGAGGGTGGAGGGTGCTGCAGCAGGGGAGGGTGGAGGGGAGGGT